ACAGAGTCAGAGACAGAGAGACAGAGATGCAGAGAGTCAGAGACACAGAGATTCAGACAGAGAGACAGAGAGAGTTAGAGACACAGAGAGAGACAGACTCAGAGACACAGAGTCAGAGACACAGAGACAGAGACAGAGTCAGAGACACAGAGAGAGACAGACTCAGAGACACAGAGAGTCAGAGACACAGAGTCAGAGACAGAGAGAGTCAGAGACACAGAGACAGACTCAGAGACAGACAAGGGTAGAGAAAGGGTGGAGAGGGAGAGAGGGAGCAAGAGAGTAACTCCCAGCAAGGAGAGAATTGGTGAACTGGGAAAAAAAAAAAACAACCAGAATGTAGCACAGACAGGAACAGGAGGAGAGGGCTCAGCAGAGTGCCATGCGGACAGTTAAGAGGCCGGATGCCCAGGTCCTGGAGCCCAGAAGGCGGGAACAGCGCAGGGCCCTGGTGTCCACACAGCTGTTTCCCGAGGCTGCGTAGCAAATCACACAGACCTGGAGCTTGAAACGACACAAACACGTCCACAGTGGTTCTGGAGACCCGGGGTAGGTCATGGCCTCCCTGGGCCAACATCAGAGGGTCCACGGGGCTGGTTCCTCTGCAGGCTGTGGGGACATTACTTCCCGCCTCTTCCAGCTTCCAAAGGCCACCAGCTCCTCAGCTGTGGCCCCTCCTCCATCTTCAAACCCAGCCCCAAGGTGTCTTCTCTCCTCTCCCAGCCTCTGTCCCCTCCAATAAGGACCCTTGTGAGACCTTGGGCCCACCCAATGACCAGGGTGACCTCCCACCTCAAGACCCCAGCTGGCCCCCTCGGTGCAGCCCTTCAACATGAGGTCACCACGCTGCAGCCCCCGAGTGAGGACACAGATGGCTTCTGGGCCTCGTTTGGCCTGTCAGACATCAGAGCTGTTTAACGTCTTCCTGGAAGCCCTTACCAGCCCAGTAAGCCAGGACAAGAGCCAAAAGGCTGAGGGTTAGGAAGGAGCCACCTAGACATCCTGACCTCACGACAGAGCCCTGCCTCTGCCCTGGTACCATGTTCCCAGCCGTTCCTGAGCCATGGCCTGGCCCGGCCTGGGGACAGCAGCAGGCGTCACCCCACACCCTGCCATGAAGGAGCACCTGAGGCTAGGCGATTCCTAAAGAAGTTTAAACGGCTCCGGTTCTGCAGGCTAGACAGGAAGCGTGGTCTGGCATTGGCTCTGCTTCTGGCGAGGCAGACAGAGCGGGAAGATCCCATAAACCCCGAGGCAGGAGCAAAAAGCCTCAGCCTATTTCCATATAAATAATGAAGAACGTAACCAGAAATAAAACCTTAGTCGTTATTAGCTATTCGTATGTGACCTTAGTTATTCATAGGTGATCTTAATTCTTTTTTTTTTTTTTTTAATCTTAATTCTTTTAGTAATGCCTCTCAGGCCGGAAGTGTGAACCTGGGGTGACACTGTGAGATGAATGACCCTGAGGCAAGATGTTCTCAGCCCCCTGTCACACCTGCAGAAGGGCTTCTGGAGGGCGCCTCGGCTGTGGAAAGCACCCCAAAGCTGTTTAGCCAGCTGGGGGAGGAGAGGTCCAAGATGACCGGGACATCGCCTTCCTGGGGAGGTCAGGAGAAAACGCCGCTCCTCCAAGCTCTTGTGGTCGGCCTGACGGCTGTCAGGAGGCCCGCAGACATCCGGGGGCTTAACTGTCCCTATGTGAGGCTGTGCGTGAGCGGTCACGTTCCACGTCCACTCTCACGTTCTGCTTCTGCACCTGGTTCCTTTTTTCTTAGAAGAGAAAATCGGTTATAGTAATACAAATCTCAGTGTTTTAGTTCTTTCTCGGTAAGATGGAAAAGGTGCTGATGCGTGATGCTCCTTACCTCACTTCGGGTGCCAGAAATTCCTGAGCCCCTACCTGAATGACGCGTGATGCACCTGACACTACCACTGCCACGCCCCATCCACCTGCCCCCAGTCTCCGACCACCGAGGCCATGCCCCGTCCACCTGCCCCCAGTCTCCGACCACCGAGGCCACGCCCCGTCCACCTGCCCCCAGTCTCCGACCACCGAGGCCACGCCCCATCCACCTGCCCCCAGTCTCCGACCACCGAGGCCACGCCCCATCCACCTGCCCCCAGACTCCGACCACCGAGGCCACGCCCCGTCCACCTGCCCCCAGTCTCCGACCACCGAGGCCACGCCCCACCTACCCTGCCCCCGGATTTGCAACTCAAGGAAAGTGAGAGCGACCCGGCGCTCGGGGCCACTGCTGGTCTCGGAGATCTGGGCAGCAGTGGACACCTGGGCCCAAACTCTCTTTTCTCTATCTTTGTCTTGTGTCTTTTATTTCTGCAATTTCTCGTCTCCTCACCAGCTGGGAGCAGCTCACAGAACCGTGCAGGGCTGGACCCTACAGCCCCAGGAAACTTACAATCCTGGTGGAAGAGAAAACGGAGCAGGCGAGTCACAGGTCACACAGAGAGAGTGTGAACAAGGCAGGGAGGTCCCACACGCTTTAAACAACCAGGTCTCAGGAAACTGCATTGTGAGGATAGCACCGAGGGGACGTGGATAAACCCTTCATGAGAATCTGCCCCCCGTGATCCAGTCACCTCCCGCCAGGGCCCACGTCCACAGCTGGGAAGGACAATTCCATATGGGATTTGCAGGGAGGGGGGAAGGGGAGCGACAATGGTGGAAGGAAGGAAAAGGGGCTGAGAGAGCAGCTGGAGGGAGCGCAGAGGTGGGGCAGGGGCTGCAGGAGCTGGTCAGATGCCCCGGGAGCTCGGGAGCTCCGCGTGGTTGGGGTTAGGGTCTGGTCTCTCCGGAGGCATAGGCTACCCAGGATGCCAGAGGGACTCATGCAGCCGTGAGGAAGGACTGTCCCCAGGCACAGCAACCTCCACCCGCAGACACCAGAGGTCCTGAGCCCTAGCAGGTCCTGCTGCAGTTGGGGCAGGAGGGCAGGAGGAAGGGTTCAAACTGGCCTGGACCGGGCAGCCTCCCCACACACCCTCTCCCAGTCTGAGGATCACACCTGGCAGAGCCTCCCGAGTCCTGAACAGCTGCTCAGACCTGGAGGAGCCAGGACCTCAGAGCCCTGGGCCCAACCTGAGGAGGTCACGGCTGCTGGGTGAGACCCGTGGCAAGGCCAGCTCCAGCCCCTTCTTCGGATTCGACCCAACCCCAGCCTCGTACGGTTCTCCAGCCACAGGCAGCCCGGGTCACTGAGAGGCTCTGTCACGGCGACCGGAGCTCCAGGAGGCCGGGCCTCCAGCCCGAGTCCATCTGACACAGGCTGCACACGGCCAGGCAGCAACGACCGGGACCCCCTGGGGTCTGAGGCCCCTGTGGACGGAGGAGGGACAGATGGCAAAGGTGGGAAGGTGTGCTGCTTCCTGGGTTGCTGCAACAAATCCCCTGACCTTCGGCTGAAGCGAAAGAGCAAGTCCTCTCGAGGCTCTGGAGGCCGAGTCTGACGCCACGGGGGACAGAGCCACACCCTCTCTGAGGGCTCCAGCACCAGGTCCTCCTGGCCTCTTCCAGCTCCGGGTGGCCCCTGGCCTCCGTGGCTGGTGGCAGCGTCACTGCAGCTTCTGCCTCCGCCTTGATATGGCATCGCCCTGTGTCTGTGGCTCACAAGGATAGTGGTCACTGGGTTAAACCCGTAGCACCCACTGTGACCTCCTCATACCTCCATCACGTCTGCAAAGGCCCCATTTCCAAATAAAGTAACAGTCTGAGCTTCCAGGCAGACATGAATGTGGGGATGCTGCTCACCCCAGTGTAGAAGGGAATGACGAAGAATGGGTCGTGCAGAGTTGCTATGGGCTCCACAGACTGCAGAACCCCAGAGAGGCCTGTGGTTCCTTTAGTTCAAATCTGAAGGCAGAAGAGTAGACTGTGATAACCCTGCTAGCCATGAGCCAGGACACACGCATGACAGGATGCACCCAGCACGTGATCCACACATACCCCAGATTCCCATAGGACACACACATGACAGAATGCACCCAGCACGTGATCCACATACGCCCCAGATTCCCATAGGACACACACATGACAGAATGCACCCAGCACGTGATCCACACATACCCCAGACTCCCACAGGACACACACATGACAATGCACCCAGCACGTGATCCACATACACCCCAGACTCCCATAGGACACACACATGACAGAATGCACCCAGCACGTGATCCACATACGCCCCAGATTCCCATAGGACACACACATGACAATGCACCCAGCACGTGATCCACACATACCCCAGACTCCCACAGGACACACGCATGACAGAATGCACCCAGCATGTGATCTCAGCTTACTGCAACCTCCGCTTCCCAGGTTCAAGTGATTCTCCTGCCTCAGCCTCCCAAGTAGTTGGGATGACAGGTGCCCACCACCACGCCTAGTTAATTTTTGTATTTTTAGTAGAGACCGGGTTCCACCATTTTGGCCAGGCTGGTCTCGAACTCCTGACCTCAGGTGATCCACCAGCCTTGGCCTCCCGAAGTGCTGAAATTACAGGCGTGAGCCATGGCGCCAGGCCTATTTTCCAGATTTTCTACAGTGAGCATATGTTGCTTTTATCACTAGAAAGGAAGACTTTAAAAGGAGAAGAAATGAAAAGGAACTTCCCTGGGGAAACAGCCCCAGTGGAGCCCAAGCCCCTCCAGGGTGGGTTCAGGGAGCGGGATACTGGGCTGACCCTGGAAGGTGACTCCCTCCTGGTGTCCAGCTCTGCTGGGAGAGGCCCTGCCTCCTGCTCCTCCAGCAGGAAGTTCCGAGAGCCCGGCAGACCACAGGCAAATCCCGGACACAGGAGGCTGACGGTCGACGCCGCGTCCCTCTCCGCGCCCTCCTCTGCCGGCTCCGGGACAGTTAGGAGCAGAATTTTGCTAAGGCAGCGAGATTCTGTAGTGGGGGTCAGAGAGGTGGGCTGGAGCAGAGCTACCCTCCCCAGGGCTTGAACCTGACAAGGAATGGAAAGAAACATCTACCCAGACACAAGCACAATCCGTTTATTTCTGGCCAGAAGGCAACAAGGAAGCAAGTACTTTGGACCAACAGCCACACCCTGGGACACCTGAGGTTCCACCATGGCCCTGGCAGCCTCGGAGGGAGCTGTGGGGTGTCGCCCAGGGCCCAGTGCCTGCCCCCACCCCGCCCTGCTCACCCCCAGCCCCTGTTCCCCTTCCTAAAGAGCAGCCCCTGCCTGAGAGCTCTGAGGAGCAACTTGTTCCTCACCCACAGGGTCCTCCCCAGGACCCCCCACATCCATCCTGGGGCACCCCAGCATATTCCACCCCTCCTCCCCGGGCACCCAAGGGGCATGGGCATGTCCTGGAGGCCTGTCAGGAGGGCCAGCAGTGCCCCCAAGGCTTGTCTCCCAGGGTGGGCAGCTGGGGGCCAGCAGGCACGTTCTCTAGGACGTCGTGTAGGGAGAATGTGCAGAAGGAAATCTGCTCATAGGAGGTCCTGGCCCCGCTCTCAAAAAGGCAGGCAAAGACCAGGGCCCCGCCAGGGGCCAGCCCAATGGATGCCAGGTCAGAGTAGCCACTGGGACCCTCGTAAATCACCCAGGGCTCCGTCCAGCTGTTCGGGTCCAGTGGGGACCGGCTCAGGCGGATGCCCATGTGCAGGCGAGCCTTGCGGCCCACGGGGTGGGAGTACAGCAGCCATGTGGGGCTCTGGGGCGTGGTGGCAGAGGGCGCTGGGGGCGCCAGGGTCCAGGACCCCACATCTCCGCTGACCCCAGGCCTGGGGCCGTCCCCCTGAGGCTGCGGATGGCTGAAGAGCCCTCCAGGCACCTGGCCTCCACGGGGGTCTTCAGCAGCCTCTTCGGGGGGTTCAAGGACTCCAGGACGGAGGCGTGGAGGGTGGGGGTCACTCCCAGGGCCCACTGACCATCCGCCATCCCGTGGCCTGCTGGGAGTGGGGGCTAGGAAGCCCACGATGCTGCCCTGGCAGCCCCAGGCAGTCTCAGGCAGGGTGGTCACGCGCACTGCGGGCAGGAAGGAGGTGCCCTCGTCGGTGCTGAGCGCCTGCACGCGGCTGCCCAGGGGGCTCCGGGCGTTGCAGTAGAGGAAGCTGCCGGCCTGCCCCCCATCCACTGCCGCCAGCTGGCACTCGCCTGAGCGCAGGTTGGGCACGAGGCCTCCGCAGCGCCAGGTGCGGCCGTGGTCATCGCTGTAGAAGGCGAAGGAGTGGGGGCTGGTCCGGCAGATCTTGCCAAAACACTCTCGGCGGTCCACGCGGTAGGTGTAGGCGGGCACCAGCAGGCGGCCAGAAGGCAGCTGCACGCCATGGCCCGGGCCCACCGCAAACGTGGCCCAATCTGCGGAGAGAAGTAGGGGTGGAGGGGCTGCTGGTTACCTGAGGTGGGGAGACGGAGGGAGGCACAGAAGGAAGGGGAAGAAGGGGCTGGTGCCTCGGGTCAGGACGGTCACTCGCCAACCGCCTTTCCACACGACTCATCCCAGCCGCCCTGAGTCCTCCCGAGCTGGACAAGCCTCTCACAGCCCTTAGCAGGTGCCCAGGAACACATGCGTCCCGGCTCCTCCGGCAGCCAGCCCCAAGCCCAGGTGGACAGCACCCAGGGAGACTGGTGAGCAGTGCCCACACAGAGAGCAGAGGGCAGCAGGGGCGTGAGGCCCTGCGGCAGAGTCCCTGGGTCAGCCATGTGTCCGCTCCACTCCCTGGTGTGGCTCCCACATGCCAGGGTCAGATAGCCGCAGGGGACAGGGTGGAGGGAAAGCTGTGGGCGAGGCCTGGCCAGGCTCCAGGCAGGGTGAGAAGGGAGTGAAGAGGAGAGGAAAGGGTAAGGGGGCGTGGCTGTTGGTTTGGGGGCCAAGAGACACCTCAGCGTCCAGCCCGCTCCTCTGCAGATACAGGCATGACCCGGGGGGATGACAGTCCTGCGTCAGCCATGCCTGCTCCTGCCCACCGGGTGCTGGGGGGACGACCAATACCCGTTTGCCTGGCACAGGACAGTCCTGGGGAGAGGGATGGTTGGTCTTCTTGTGGCTGAAGGCAGGGGCAGGGGTGGGCAGAATGGAAATTTCCAGCTGGGATCTTCTGTGTGGACCGTGGTCAATCAAAGGGACCCAGACCAGTGCCCTGCCCACCTGCCCTGCCCACCTGCTGTGCCCACCTACCATGCCCACCTGCCCTGCCCACCTACTCTGCCCACCTACCGTGCCCACCTGCCCTGCCCACCTGCCCTGCCCACCTGCCCTGCCCACCTACCCTGCACAGCACTGCCGATGGCCTCCTCGGTGAGGTCCCGGGCGCTGCCCCACGTGAGGCCTGCGTCATGGCTGGTCACATAGCAGAGTCGTGCGGCGTTCCTGCCTGTGGCGATCTGCACGGCCTCGGGCGTGTGACCCAGCACCGCAATGAAGAAGAGGAAGACGGTGCCTGTCGCAGCGTCGTGCACGGGGCAGGGGTTCATGGACCGGTGCTCCGCCAGGGCCGCCGTCCCCAGCACGTGCAGGGCACCCCACTGCCCAGAGGAGGAAGTGCCGCTGGCCAGGATGTCCAGGGACCTGGGCGCAGCCCCTGCAGGGCACCTTGGGAGAGCTGAGCCTGGTTTGCTCATCTCCACCTTGGCCACCCACCTGCCTGCCACCCAAACAGACCCCGCCCCCCGGGGAATGCAGCCCCAGCCAACCCGGCCACTTACCTGCACAGAGCCCCGGGCCAGTGTGCCCCTCCTCAGCACCAGGCGGTGGGCGTGGGCATCATCGGGGCTGAGCCGCTGCTCCACAAAGGCCAGCAGGGTGGGCCCGGGGGGCACGGGGAGCAGCGAGGGCACGCGGTAGGTCAGGCCCGTCCTCTCCCGCTCAAAGAGCACTGTCCTCGCAGGGGTACGAGGGGACCCCATGCTCTGCAGATCACAGCAGGGCCACAGGTCAGCAAGACAGGCCCAGGGAGCCCCACATTTGCCCCCCATCTGGATTGGGGATGCGGCTCAGGAGGTACAGACAGCCACAGCCCCTTCCCACACCTCAGCCTCTTCCTGCACCCACCGTGGGGTGCAGGAATATCTGGGGCATTCCCTACCCCACCCTCTTCACAGCCACTGCACCCCAAATATCTGTGGAATCAGCCCCTTTCCCTCTCAATATGACTCTGGGAGCTGACCCTTGCCAGGATGGTTGGGGCCAGGGTACATGGGAGGCTGGCCAGAGAGCCCTGGGGACCCTGTGAGCCATGTGCCTAGGATACAGGGTCATCCAGAATTCACCCAGCAGGAGAGCATGTGGTTAATCAGGACACAAAATCTCGAACAAGGAGGAGCTCCTTGTTCCCAAAATAGAGGCCACTGCAAACAGAGACACAGAGGTGCACCCACAGGTAGCCTCGGGAGCCACGGGGCTCTCTGGGGACAGGGGACCCACTGCCACTTCCTAAACCTCATCGAGTGGCCCAGAGCCAGGGATCCTACAGGGGACAGGTGCTGGGTGATCGGACCCCCACCCACAGGCAGCTGGCCCCACAGTGCCCTCACCCCACCCCTAGTGCCTGCAGAGCCCTGACCCGAGGAGCACCTGAGAAGCACCTTTGGGAATCAGAAGCCCCAAGCTGAGTGGGACTCGGGCAGCTGTTCTGGGTGTTTGCTCCCAAGCAGCACCCACAAGGGCAGGGCCTGGATTAGGGGGCACACATCGGGTCTACTTGCTGCAGGCAGGACCTTCCCAGGGGCCTCTCGGTCTGACTCACACAAAGGCAGGCTGAGCAGGGCATAAGCACGCACAGCCTGGTGCGGGGCGGTGGCAAAGTTGCAGACAGGTGGGAGTGCCGGTGCCCACCATGCAGGACATGGAGCGGTCAGAGCCACAGCCAGCCACCCAGGCTGGGCACACGGGGCACTGGATGGGAGGCGAAGGGAAGGGAGGAGGCGGGACATGGCCTGCTATGACCGGGACCTACGCACACTCAGGAGTCCAGCGGCACCCACAGATGGAGACCGGGATAAAGGTAAAACCCGGGCGGGCTTTGCTCCAACGCCTGAGGCCCAAACAGACACCGCCACCTCCAGCCACCTCTGCCCCAGGCCGCTGTTCCCAAAGGCTCTGGGACAGGGCAGCCAGCAGGCCTCTTCCTGCCGCTCAGCCCCCCTGCCAGTCTTGTGGCTTCTGAGAGCAGCTTCCTGTCCCCAGGAAGTCCCTGGCTCTGCTCTCAAAGGACAATTGTGGCCAAGTGGGAAGCAGGTGCAGACGCCACGTGCCCCTCTGGGCTGAGCAGGCACAAGCAAGACATTCTCTCAGCACTTGGCTCACTCCCCGAGGCCTGGACCACAGAAGCAGCTGCAGCCCCCCTGCAGCCCGGAGGCCCGGCCCACTCTGGGGACAGAGAGGGAGGGAAGGAGGCTCCAAGAACAGCTGATCACTCCCGTCATTGCACGGAGGGGAAACTGAGGCCCACAGAGGGGAATGGGGCTCCCACACATGTGGCTTGGGGTATCCTTGCCACGGCCAGGGCTTGGGCTCCACAGAGGGCCCCTCCGTCTCAGAGGCCAGACTGCTCAGTATGGCCAGCTCGGCACATTCCAGGGGTTTGGCTTGATTGGGACAGCTGTGTCCTGACATTAATCAGTGCCCCCTGCCCTCCTTGAAAGGGCCCTCCTCGGGGGTGTGGAGTCACAGAAGGGGAAACCGAGGCCCAAGGAAGCTGGGACCTCCAGGGGAACCTGGCCTTCTGGCCCCTGGACCTCTAGACAGGTTGTAGGGGGTCACTCTGGCTCGACAGGGGGCCGTCGCAGACACCTCACCCCTGGCAGCCAGTCCTGTGGGGCTCCCCCAGGGCCCTGAGGTCAGCCCAGGCCCTCTGCACACACCCTCTGGGGTCAGCACTCCTTGTCTGGGACCGCTCAGATGCAGAGCAGGACCACCTCGGTGAGGGGCTTCACAGGCACCCACGTAGAGCACGAGGCCCTTTGCACAGAATCCCAGCAGGGGGCCCTCGGGCAGCTCTGACCCTCAGCCTGTACTGTGAGCATCCTGTGCTCTGGCCAGGACAAAGACTCCAACCACAGACCCTTCACCTGGTGCAGCATCCCCAGCCAGCCCAGCTGCAGAAAGACCCTGTGGTCTGGGGCCGCCCCCCGCTGCATTGGGCCCCTCACAACCGGTCTGTCTCCATGACACGCCCTGAATCTGCCCTCAGGAACCCTCACTGTCACACCCATCCTATGGGCCAAGAAACCGCTCCGTTGGGAGACACGTGTGGAACCCTTGCTGTAGGGCACCTCGGGATCCATGCAGCCCGCCCCATGTTTGAGGGGTGAGCAGCCACCCAGGGCCTGGCAAGGGGACTCGTCCACCACCCCCCAGACAGAGGGGGCGGCCAGCGAAATGGATGCCTGAGGAGCAGGTCCTGGCCCCGAGCACCAAGGTAGAGGGTCAGGGCGTGGGGAATGCACAGGGCAGGGACTCACCGGCCACCTCGGGAAGGCTGCAGAGCTCATCATGGGTGGCCGCCTCTCCTGGCCCAGAGCAGAGACAAGGACTCACTGTGCAGGGGGCAGGCCAGGGAGCTGGCCACGCCCCAGGGCGACGTCAGGACCTCGGAGCCTCCCAAGTGGCACGGCTCCACTGAAGCCCAGAGCAGAGGCACGGGCGCAGATGGGCACCCAGGAGCCACACGACAGCAGAGCCAACACAGATGCCTAGGACCCAGGGCTCGCTCTCCAACAAGGGCCATGCTGAGATAGGCCTGGCTGTGGGGCCAGAGTCGGCCTCCCGGGGACACAGGGTCTGCAGCTCCAGAGGCACGGCCGGGCAGGGGGGCTCCGAGGGCAGGGCCTCCCTTGGCACAGCACAGCTGTGCAGGACCCGCCTCGCTGGGCCCCAGCTCTGCAGCCATGCTCCTGGCAGGCCAACACCCCACCCCAATGTCCTGTGCCTCTTAGGGCCCAGGTGACCCCTCCCCAGCACAACCGCCCCCGCAGCACTCCTGCCAGCCCCGTTCTCGCTGGCCCGACCCAGGCCGCCATTTCCAAGGCAGCCTTGGTAACTGATGCTCGCATGACTGCTGCCCAGGCCAGAATCTCAGAGAAGGCCGCGGGTCCTGGTGCGCTCTGAGGGAGGCAGCCTCCGGGGGCTCCCTGGGCCCTGAACACCCTCCCTCTGCACTGTCCCCCCATTCCCCGCGAAGGGCGTCCTCGGCCGCTTCTGAAATCTCGGGGGCTGTGGTGGGAGACAGGCTGAGGTGCAGCAGGAGGTCACGTGGTTTCCAGGCTGAGATGAGAAACCTGTCATCCCCCCAGGTCCTGGGGGCCTGATGGGATTTACTGGAGGGAGCTGGGAGGGGGCCAGGGAGGACACGGGAGAGAGGGAAGCGGGAGGGGTGGGCCCCAGCTCCTCCCAAATCTCCAGCATGGCCCCCGTGGGCCAGGAGCGGTGTGTGGAGTGCAGGCGGCTCCGCCATGGCACGCAGCCCTCCTGCTCACAGCCAAGAATCCTGGGGCAGGGGCAGCTGGGTGGGAAGGGACAACCTCCCCTCCTCTCAGAAGCCCCACCCCGACCAGAACCAGGCAGCCATCTCCCTTTTCCTGTCCCCCAAGACTGGGAGAGTCTGACAGGGCCGCTCCTAAGCACCCAGGCTCACAGGGAAACGGGGCCTGCAGGCCCCCACATCATCTGGCAAAGGCCCCTCCTCAGCCACCCTGAGACAGAGGCAGGATCTGGAGCAGGGCTGTTTAACCAGGCTGTGCCCACAGAGCGGGGGTGGGGGACAGACCTCACCCCCTCTGCTTGAGGCTTTTCAAGCCAGCTTTTTCAACCTAGAGATTTCACAGAAAAGCGCATGTTTCCAGCTTCTCTGGAAAAATCAGATCTTCCCTCAGGCATCGCCCACTTCCCCTGGGCACCCTGCCTGGACAAGTGGCAATCTACCCGGGCATGTGCCAGCCATAGGTACCCCCAGTCGTCACCCCGTGGCCCACGGCTGCCCAGAGGTCCCTGGGCACATCTGAGGCTCTGTCCCTGCGGGGTGAAAGCCACTGGGGGAAGCTTTCCTTAACCTCCTTCCTGAGCTCTGGCAGCCAAGGACCCACACTGACCCCAGCTTCACACGGACGCTGGGATGTGCCTCTCCCAGGAGCAGTTTCGGCCTCTCCACGTTCCCGCTTCTCCGGACTGGGCGATGCTGCGGCATTTTAACTATCCGTTCTCAACACGCACCCTGAACAGGCTGTTCTAAAACTCAGCTGGAAACCATATACAGTTTTACTTCCCCATAATTACCCCCAAATTTCTACGCAAAATCACAGGACCAGTTTCTGTTCCGCCAACCTCGAAGGCAGAGACAATGACAGTGCAGCACTCTTGGAACTTCATTTCTTCAGTGCCCGTGGGGCTGAGGGCAGGCTCCAAGCCTGAGGACAGGGCTACCACCGTAGCGGCCAATTCGTCCAACCCTCCTCCTCCTCCCCAGAGGCAACCTGAGCCCTGCTTAGAAGCGGCACCTCCTCATCCTGTTCTCACCCACCATCCCACCATCCCTCAGTCATGGGACCATGCATGCCAAGGGGCCCGGAGGGTTCTGCCTAATCCTCAGAGAATAACTGGATGCTGAAAACTGCGTCTTTCTTCAACTCAGGGAAATGTGTCTGTGGCAAGCCAGGTCTCACCAGCGCAAGCCTCCTAACAACCGCTTGAGCACACTGACTGAAGGTTAAGTTAAATGTTAAAGCTGAGAGAGCCGCTGCCCTCATACAAAGGCCAGGATGTAACAAAAGCCCACCATGAGTTCTGCCCCCCGCTTTCCTGGGCTGTGAGGCATGATCACACAACAGAGGCATTCTTAACAGGACCCATTTAAGATTAAACAACTTTTATTGGGGGTCTGAAAAAACTCCCCAGGCCTCCACAAACAAATTTATTGGGGTCGGAAGGAACTCCCCAAACCTCCATGATTTAGCAGAAGACAAGATAAGGGTAATCACCCAGGCACCTGGACCTATTTAGATTAAGTAAACTGACTGAGGCTACAGAGGCGCGGCTTCAGAACTCAGGCCTCAGTTACAGACGGGAAGAATTGAACCCCATGTGTCTTTAGGTCAGGCGTCCCCAATCTTATTACACAGGGGGCCAGTTCACTGTCCCTCAGACCGTCGGAGGGCCGCCACATCCTGTGCTCCTCTCACTGACCACCAATGAAAGAGGCGCCCCTTCCTGAAGTGCTGCGGGGGGCCGGAGAAATGGCCTCAGGGGGCTGCATGCGGCCCGCGGGCCGGGTTGTAGTTTGGGGACGCCTGATTTAGGCAAATGTGTGCTTACACGTAGACACATAGCTCAGAAGATACAAGCTCTGGACAAACTCTGTAACCTGGAGTTGGTCTGGCGATCGTTCCCAGGCCTTCTCCCTGTAACCCGTTAAGGAAACAAACACTCTTCCTCCCAGGGCATCTGCATCTCCTCACTGCACCTTCGCAGCCCAGCCCTGGGTTTAGCCGGGAACGTTTTGCTCTCTGTGTGACCTGCCTTCTCATGTGTGGTCTCTTCTGTCTTCTGGGACTCCTGTCATTGGCCTGTGGGCTCATCCCGGGCCTGCTTTCCTGTTACCCGGCAGAATGCCCTACTGTGCCCTCCCTGGGCTGAGCCAAGAAGAGTGGCCTGCAGGGGTCCCTGGGCTGCGTAGGGGAGGGTGGCCTGCAGGGTTCCCTGGGCTGAGGAGTGGAGGGTGGCCTGCAGGGGTCCCTGGGCTGAGGGGTGGAGGGTGGCCTGCAGGGGTCCCTAGGCTGAGTCGGGGAGGGAGGCCTGCAGGGGTCCCTGGGCTGAGGGAGGGAGGGTGGCCTTCCAAACGTGCTGCCAGGTAGGTGCGTTTCCTGGGCGCCCCAGGCACTGGCTTGTCCCCATGTGTGCACCCCTTTACCTGTTAACCACCCCCCTCCCCAGCAGCCAGGATCACATCCTGCCAGGCAGGGAGGCTCTGCCCCTCCAGATGAATGACAAAGATGGTGCCCACAGCTGCCCTCTGGCACCACGCCTGGCACCACCTCCAAGGCAACCGTGGGTGTGTGGCGCCCCAACCACTCCTGCCTCATTTGGTGAGTCAGACGTCCTCTCCTCCGCCAGCATTTGTGCCTGACAGCAGAGGCTGCGGAGGTGAGTTCGACCTCACCCCCTGTCTTTTGAGTAGCTGTCCCATCTCTCTGTAGAAAACGTCCTTCCATCAGAAGTAAACCTCCTATAGCCAAAGATGGGAGCTGCTTCCACACGGCTCCCCCATCACTGGCTGCAGGGCTGAGCCTGGGTCTTTGTGGCACTGCCTGTGCCTGGGCATGTCTCTGGGACCAGCACCTTGTTGCCAGCGCTGAGAAATCCAGGGGAGACACTGAGCTCCTCCGAGAACCCACAGCCCCAGTGCCAGGCACGTCGGGAGTCCCGGGGTCACGGGCATGGGGTTCTGCCAGGCAGCGTGCTGGCCTGTGGTCAAACATCCCTCACTCCGCCACCCTCGTGTTCGGTACTATTCGGTGAACTGAGGCACAGCCTCGGGCCAGGTGGGGCTTCCACCCGGGCTCAGGACCCTCTCTGGGAGGGGTCTGGGCGGATCACGGAGGTGGGGGGGCGGCTTTTCACTGGGGTCTCCACCTTCATTTTAGAGCAGGGGCCGGCGAGCCTGGGTTTCCCAACCGCGAAGAGAGAGGGGCTGGTGTCAGCGGGAGGCCCCGGCCCCCGCCCCTGTACGCTCCCCCCTCTACGGGATGTTCTTGGGGGGCTTCTCCGGGAACTGCAGGGAGTACAGGTGGGCCATGTACTGGAGCTCGGGCCTCACCAGCCGCTGGCACACGCGCCGCGTCTGGTTGTCCAGGCCTGGCCTGAGGTTGTAGCCCAGGATGTCGGCCGCGCCGGGCTGGTAGGGGCGCAGGCCCGGGTCGTGGATCTGCGTCCGGTTCTGGGGCGCGCCACCGTCCTGCAGGCACAGGACCGCGAGTTCGCGCCTCCGCGTCCGGAGCCGCGCCACCTCCCCGCGCAGCCGCCGTGGGCCCAGCTCGGCGCGCAGCTGCCCCCAGAAGCTGCGGTTGAAATGCTGGTACAAGCGCCAGTCCAGCGCGCACCAGCGCCGCGCGCGCTCGCGAGTCTCGGGCGCCAGGCGGGTCACGGAGCGCGCGCTGCGGGAGTTGAGCCTGAAGGCCACCACGTCGTCCAGCGCCCAGCGCAGCCGGCGCCGCAGCAGCACCAGGGACTCGTCGAAGTGCTCGGCGATGAGCACCAGCTGGAAGCGCCGCTCCACCTCCGCGATGCGCGCGCGCACGTAGCCCTCCTCGGCCGGCGCGTTGGGGTCGAAGCCGAAGTCGAACCACATGTTGTTCTTGGCGTAGACGTTCCTGAGGAGGTGGCTGTCGTTATAGAACGTCCGCGGCGAGGCCAGGAACGCGTCCAGGCTCGGGGCGCCCTGGAAGGCGGGCGCGTAGGTTTTGTAGTAGATGAAGGAGGACTCCAGCTGGAACACAGGGTTTCTCAGGATGGAGAAGTAGAACGTGTCGTTGGGCATGACTTTCTGCACCTGCATGGGGACCGAGAGGCGGACTGCAGACCGCGGGCTGGAGCAGGGTGGCCCACCCGCGGGGAGGAGGCGCGCCCTGGCCACATCGCCCAAGCAGCCCCCCATCCTCACATCTGCGGAGGGACCTGGGCCGGGCGCCTCCTCGTGCTGCAGCTCCGGAAGCAGACCAGGGCCACATGCAGGCCCTGCAGCCCAGTCACTGGTGTCCGGGTGCCCAGAGCAGGGGCCGAGGACGCCAGGAAGGGGCCTCAGGAGGAGGAGGCCGCGGCGAGAGCAGGAGGCGGGAGGCGGGAGGCGGGAGGCGGGAGAGGGAGCTCCCATTGGCACCTGGAGGCAACCCAGAGGCCTCAAAGGGTGGCATGCCGTGGGGCACAGACGCCGCACGAAGGGCCCTCCGCGGGCCCGGACACAGGGGACCTTCAGCACTCCACCAGCTGCCCACGGGCCAGGGTGACACCCACCTAACACACAAGGAAAGTGAGGCCCGGAGAAGCCCGGTGACTCAGGTTCCCCGCAGGGTGGGTCTGGACTCACCTTCTCGTGCCCACTCAGAGGTCACGGAGGTCATACCCCACCCACAGAAAGTAAAGGCATGCAAAAAATCACGCCCAACTACACGGTCTGCTTCTCCATCCTCAGAAACCCCGCGTGATGGGAGGCCTCCTCTCCTCCCTGCCCCTATCTTCTTCCTTTCCCCCGCCTCCCGGCCCCTTCTCGTCCCTCTGCCCCAAGGCCCCCACTCCACAGCACACCCAGGCTGCCCGGCTCTGCCCGTCACCACCTGGTCTCCCTTTGGCCGCGCCTGAATACCTAGCCCCTGGTGGCCATTTGCCACAGAGCGCTGGGGTGACCCTAAAACACCCGTGCCTGCCCACAGCCCTCCCACCCACATTCCCTGCCCTGCTTCCTCTGTAAGAAAGGTCAGGGACGGCCTGGGGGAAGGCCAGCTCTATGCTGAGAACCCAGGGACTGGAGGGGGCCCTGCAACCATAGGCGTGAAGGTCATAGGGTGAGGAGAGCTGGGCCTGTGCAGAAGCAGAGGGGGCCAGAGAAGGAAGGCGCTGGGGACGCCCTTGGGCAGGGGCTGTGGGGCTCTAGGTCTCATTCCAAGAGCAACTGCAGGCCACGGACTGCCTGGAGGGGCGGGGGTTGGCTCAGCTGGGCTTGTGGTCCAGACCCTCCCCATTCCTCTCTGCACGCCTCACCCCCAAGCCTTACACCACTTCCCTCAAGCCTCCAGGCTACACCACCCGACCCCACAACCACAGTCAAGACCGCTACCCGCCCTCCTCCCCACAGGCCCCGCCCTACTCCCCACAGGGCCCACCTTCCTCCCCACAGGCCCCGCCCTCCTCCCCGCAGGCCCCGCCCTACTCCCCACAGGGCCCACCTTCCTCTCCACAGGCCCCGCCCATCTCCCCACAGGCCCCGCCCTCCTTACCCAGAGGCCCTGCCCTCCTCCCCGTAGGTCCCGCCCTACTCACCACAGGGCCCACCTTCCTCCCCACAGGCCCCGCCCTCCTCCCCACAGGCCCCGCCCTACTCCCCACAGGGCCCACCTTCTTCTCCACAGGCCCCGCCCTCCTCCCCGCAGGCCCCGCCCTACTCCCCACAGGGCCCACCTTCTTCTCTACAGGCCCCGCCCTCCTCCCAGCAGGCCCCGCCCTCCTCCCCCGCAGGCGCACCTCAGGCGGGTTGAACCTTAGGTGGTTGCACATGATGTTGAATCGCTGCTGCGACCCTACACCTTCCACGTAGCGCGCCAGGAAGAACCAGGGGTAGCCGAGGTGGACGTGCCAGCCGGCAGGCAGCGCCACAGAGAGGTTGTGGGTCTCCGCGAAGCGGTAGAGGATGTTGAGCACCGTGCTGCTGGCCGTCTTGTGCGTCTTCAGGAACATGATGTTGGTGACAGGCGGCCCCTCGGCCTCACCCCCAAACAGGCTGGGAGGGAGGGCGCACGCCATGTCAGCAAGGGTGCAGATGCCCTGACCCATGCCCAACAGCGACCCCTGGCCCGACAGCCCCAAAGAAAGACCTTCCAACCTGAGCCCCCCATCTCTGGGCCGGGGGCCCACTGGGTAAGCACCAACCCATGGCCCCAACCCTTGCCCCACTCCACAGCCTCCCATCCGGTGGCCTGAACACACACTCCCCAGCTGTCTCCCATAACCATGCTTCCCCAACCCTGTGCCCCTGAGAACTAAAAACCCTAACACCCCCCACAACTGACTAAAGAACCCCCTATTGGCCAAGGGGGCCCCAGACACACCTTAAAACTGAGTTCCCAGCAGTGATGGGATGGGAGGTCAGACACCTCATCACAGCCCCTCCCCTCTGCGGTTTAGACACTGCAACTGCCCAGCGTGAATGTTAAAACAGAGACCATAAAGAAAATGTGGTACATAGACATCATGGAATACTATGCAGCCGTAAAAAAAGGATGAGTTCATGTCCTTTGCAGGGACATGAATGGTGCTAGAAACCATCATCCTCAGCAAACTAACACAGGAACAGAAAACCAAACACTGTGTGTTCTCACTCATAAATGGGAATTGAACAATGAGAATACATGGATACAGGGAGGGGAACAGCACACACTGGGGCCTGTCAGGGGAGGTGCGGAAAATGGAGAGAAAGCATTAGGACAAACACCTAATGCATGCAGGGCTTAAAACCTAGATGATGGGTTGATGGGTGCAACAAATCACCTTGGCACATGTATACCTATGTAACAAACCTGCACGTTCCGCACATGTATCCCAGAACTTACAGTAAAATTTTAAAAAAGATTTTTTTTTTTTTTAGCAAAAAGAGACCATAGCCTGGCAGAACCGACTGCGGCCATAAGACAGCAAATCCTCAACAGGACTCAAGGCCACGCCAGGCAGGGGCTCCGTCACGCACGCTGCACTTAAAGCAGAAGCCAGGTTCTCCCGGCCACAGGCTTCTCTTTTTCTCTGGCAGCCAAACACTGGCCTTGAGATGAACCACGTGAAACCAGGTCCCACTCAGCCCCCGCCAGACGCGCCTCACTGACCCATGCTCCACTGGCTGCAACTGCAGCTGCACTGGGACAGGAGCCTCATTTCAGCAGCTGTCTCCTGAGCAAGGACCCCTGGCCCGGACTGGTTCTGGCGGTTCAGAGGCTGCACATCAAGGGCCTCCCGTCCCGGCTTCACCTGCTGAACATGTACTTGGCCAAGCTGTTCTGAGTAAGCCCCTGTCCCGTCCACCCCACCCCTGCGAAGTATCCACTCACAGTCTGTGTCAGCTGCTGTGCTTTCAGCCTGTGGGATGCCTGCACTTTATAAGAAACAAAGTCTCCTCCAAATTTATAGATGTCATGATTCTTTAGTTGACACCCCCAACCCTGGAATCCAAACCCATACTAACTTCCACTGTGTCCCCAGCCCAGAGACCCTCAGTCCTGGCCTTGGGGGCCCCCACTGAGACAGCGTCCCCAGACCCGTCACTGTGCCCCCAACCTAGAGACCCTCAGCCCCAGCCTCGGGGTTCCCCATGGAGACAGTGCCTCCAGACCCATCACTGTGCCCCTCAGGGGCTACGCCATCTGCCCCACACGTCACCCCAGCCTTCTCCCTGGCTTCAGGGTGCCGGCACACTGCTGGCTCTGTGACCTCAGCCACACATGCAGCGCTTCTTGGCTGTCCCTTCACACCAAGAAAAGGAAGGACTCCAAAGCTGGGACCAGCAGCCAGATGTGGGGCTGGAGTGGATGCTGGGCCTACTCCTGGGACCCCATCATGATGCCCACCCAGTGGGCCTGAAGTAGCAGGTGCCCTGCCTGCCCCGGAGCAGGGCCAGCAGGAGTGACCAGGATGGTGGGGTCAGGGTAGCCTGGGGTGACAGAGGTGGGCAAAGACAGGGACCCTGGTACCTGTCTCCAGCAGCTTGGCCTAGAGGGTGTTGGTGCTCCCCTCCCTCCTCCAACCAGAGGGGCTGGGGAATGGTGGGGCCTGGAAGACCCCCAGCGCCTGGCTGAAGCCCTGGCCTGGAGGCACAGCTGGGCTGCAAGGTGGACACAGGGAGGTGGGCACAGGTGAGGTGGGCACGGGTGAGGTGGGCACAGGTGAGGTGGACACAGGTGAGGTGGGCACAGGTGGGGTGGGCATGGGCAGAGATGGGCATGGGCAGAGGTGGGCACGGGCAGAGGTGGGCACGGGTAAGGTGGGCACAGGCGAGGGGCACAGGTGAGGTGAGCACAGGCGAGGGGCACGAGCAAGGTGGGCATGGGTGAGGTGGGCACAGGTGAGGTGGACACAGGTGAGGGGCACAGGTGAGGTGAGCACAGGCGAGGGGCACGGGCAAGGTGGGCATGGGTGAGGTGGGCACAGGTGAGGTGGACACAGGTGAGGTGGGCACAGGTGGGGTGGGCACGGGCAGAGATGGGCATGGGCAGAGGTGGGCACGGGCAGAGGTGGGCATGGGTGAGGTTGGCACGGGTGAGGTGGGCACAGGCGAGGGGCACAGGTGAGGTGAGCACAGGCAAGGGGCACGGGCAAGGTGGGCACGGGTGAGGTGGGCACAGGTGAGGGGCACGGGTGAAATGGGTATGGGAGAGGTGGGCATGGGTGAGGGGCACAGGCGAGGTGGGCACAGGCAGGGTGGGCACGGGTGAGGTGGGCACAGGCAGGGTGGGCACGGGTGAGGTGGGCACAGGTGAGGTGGGCACAGGTGGCCACCTCTGCACCAGGGGCCCCACAGAGGCTGTGTCCCAGGCAGGTCAGGGAGAGGGTCTCCAGGCGGTCCCAGGGCTGCAACGTCTCACCTGAGCAGGGGTCTGACCTTTTCCTTCCCAGATTCAAACCTAGGCCCAGCCAGGCCCACCTCTGCTGTGAGGAGCAAGAAGGCGGCCTCCAGCCCTGCCTCCCACACCTTGGTACCCTCTGCACACACTGGCTCTGCCCCCAAACCCCTGCTCCCCAGAGTCCTCCCCGGAGGCCGGGTGGGTTCATGGTTCACAGGAGACGTTCGTGGGTCTCCCAAGGAAGGGCCCATCCAACCCTCCTCTTCCAGAAGGATGCAGGCCCGGTGGGGAGGCGTGACTGTGCTGGGGTCCCCGGCTCTGCCCTCGGGGCTGTTGGGGGTCCCAGGGCAGGACTTACGGTGTGAGCAGCTCCAAGTCTGTGTGCAGGAATCCAGCCAGCAGGAGCAGCGTCAGGGCAAGGAGGAGGAGGAGGATGACCCGGAAGTACCTGTGGGCGGGGCATGCCGTGAGTGCCCAGGCCGGGCTGCACCAGCCCCACCCCCACCTCCCATCCCAGATCACACAGGTCTGGGCCTCCCCTTCAGCTCTGTAACGTCTTGTCCTGAAACTCACTGGGTGCCCGCCCAGGGGTCAGGGGGTGACCTGGGACGGGCATGAATCTGACTCCACGTTGAACACCCTGCCTGGCTCAGGGCAGGAAAGAGCCTCATGGATGAGCCATCCCCTTCCCTGGGGCCCACAAGCTGCCAGAGCCACGCTACTGGGACCAGAGGTGGGAGCGGGTCAGGGGACCTCTGCCCCCTCAGGGCCCCCTGGGAGACTGTGATGGGATGGAGACCCTGAGCTGAGCACCCCCAGGGGGACTGGAGAGGCTGAGAGGTTGGTGCAATGGACTGTGCGCCCCCAAAATCCATAGGCCAAGCACCTAACACCCAGCATGATGGCACCTGGAGGTGGGGCCTCTGGGACGTGGTGGGCTGGAGGAGGTTGTGAGGGAGGTGGAGTCCCTGTAGTGGGAGTCATGTCCTTGTAAGAAGGAAGAGACCAGAGAGTGGCCTCCTCTCCCCACTCTGGCTCCCCACATAGGGGCACAGAGAGAAGGCGGTATCTGCAGGCCCAGAGGAGGCCCGCCCCAGGAACCTGCCACACTGGCCTCCGGAACCGTGAGAAGCACATGTCTGCCGCTGAAGCCACCCTGTCTGTGGTGTCTGCTGTGGCAGCCAGGATGACTGAGCCCGGGACCAGCATGATGTCTCGACAGAGGTGGGGCCCTCACAAGGAGGCTTCAGAAGACCAGGCCTGGGTCCCAGGAACCTGGCAGGTGCAGCCAGATCAGAGAAGAGCAGATCCGGATGAGGCCTGCCTCAGAGTCAGGTGGGGAGCCAGGGTACCCCATCCTCTGAGCAAAGCCCCCCATCAGTAGAGAGCTGCAAAGGGGTCTCACAATGATGGATTGGGGGTGCCACAAGGGCTGTGTCCCCTCAATGATGGGGTGGGGGTGCCACATGGGGCCAGCTCAGGGCCACCAATAGCCCAGCTCCCCAGGGGAACCACCCAGTAACCATCTATCCCTGGCACGCAGCCGCTGGTCAGGGCCACTCTGTTTCCCAGCCCCACGTGCTCTCTGACCCCACCCACTGACCCTGCTCCGTGCCTCCCCGCTCAGACAAGACCAGAACTGACCGTGCACACCTCGGCCATCAGGGAAAGAACCGTGCGATGTGGGGAGGTGGCTGTGCCGGGCTCCACTCGTGACAGTGGAATAATTAACTCTGAGACACATCTGTCTTCTGCAGAAGCAGACCGAGCAGGGCCCTGATTTGTGGTGACACATCCGTGGCCGGCCCAGGGAGGGCTCCCGCCCCGGTTCTCGGCAGCTTCCGTGCTGACCAGGATGCTCTGAGCCTGCTTTGTATGTTTCCTGGCCCAGGCCTGGGGTGAGCCACGTTTCCAAAGGGCCCTGGGTTCCACTGGTAGGAAGCGGCCTTTGGGGATCGCAGTCTGGGTGCTGGGGTGCTCACTGCCCAGAGAAGGCCGCATGTCTGGGCCTTCTCTGTAGTCAGAACTCAGAGCTACACGTTGGAAGACGGAACCCTCACCAAGAACCTCCAGCTCCAGTTCAACACTGCGGCTTTCAGCAGAACTTCTGTGTGTGACATCTTGTCTCCTTTCTTCCACACCAAGGGTCTGGGTCTCAAAGACACTGGGGATGGCAGAACTAGGACCCCCCCATAATTTCTCACCTGCTTCAGGCTCACGGCACACCCAGCACCTCAGCCACCAACGCCAGTTCCCACCGTGGCACTCCCACAGCCACACCTGCAGGCCCTGCAGAGGCACAGGAGTTTCCCTGCCCTCCGTTCACCTCTGCCCTACTATGCCCTTCAATGCCTTCTCCAGTCCTTATGGCAAAATGGGAACCACCTCGGAGAGGCGCGCCCAGCGGCCAACACCCAGTAAACGTTAGAATCCCAGGCGCAGGGAGGCGAGTGCAAGGGGCCGACGAGCAGAGAGGGCCGCGCCCCCCCCGCAGGGTCAGGGTCCCACGGGACATCCTCGTGAGAAAGGACTTGTTTCCCACACCCAAACATGGCCCCACACAGAGTAGGTAGGATTCCTGCCCTGCCACCGAACCACTTCTGTGGACTTGCCAAGACCCTCCCAGGGAAAGCGACTGCACCGGGTGGAAGGGGCAGTTTTACAGCTCGGCATAGTTAGAGTTTAACCCACTGATAAGCCCACGAAGGACTTCACCAGCCTGGCCTCTCAGCGCCTCGGTTTGCCATGCCTTTGTTCCGCCATATTAAACTCCTTCCTCAAACACTCTGCGCTTTTATAGCCCCTCATGCACTTTTATACCCGCTCTGCACTTTTATGGGACACACTGGCCATCTGTTAGAGGCATTGCATTCACACTTACAATAACCCCCTCGGCCTTGGGGCAGCATGAACCGGTCTCTGTTCTCTGCAGCTACCCAATTAAAACAATGATGTTTCGCCGGGCGCAGTGGCTCACTCCTGTAATCCCAGCACTTTGGGAGGCCGAGGCAGGTGGATCACAAGGTCAAGAAATCGAGACCATTCCGGTCAACATGGTGAAACCCCACCTCTACTAAAAATTTAAAAAAAAATTAGCTGGGCATGGTGGCGCGTGCCTGTAATCCCAGCTACTCAGGAGGCTGAGGCCGGAGAATTGCCTGAACCCAGGAGGCGGAGGTTGCGGTGAGCCGAGATCGCGCCATTGCACTCCAGCCTGGGTAACAAGAGCGAAACTCCGTCTCGAAAAAAAATTCTCTAGGCCGCTGTTCCCCATCAACAGGGGTCAGGCAGGGTGGTCAGTGTTGGAGCAACCGGGAAGGGGGTGACCTGGGGGCCCCAGAGGTGAGCCCAGCCGCAGGCACACTTGACCGACCCAGGGGACCATGGGGCAGGAAGTGGGTGATGTGTTCAGCCAAGCAGAGAGATGAGGCTTCTGTCCTTACACCCAGGAGTTACACAGTGTCACACTCTCCTTTAAGGAGAGCCCGTGGCTGCACTACTGTGAACTCACCAAAAACCACTGAATTGTGCACTTTAATCGGGTACGTTCTTTGGTATGTGAATTACATCTCAATAATGCTGTTTACAAAATCTATTTTAAAATGATAAAGAGTTCACCTGCTGCAAAACTTGAAAGCCAAGGATTACAG